AATCTAGATATCAGAAGCTCGAAAGTTATACTAGACGGTGAACACGCAAGTTTCTTGATTGAACCTGCATTTGCTTTTGTAATTATAACTGTATGTGAATCGTGATTATAATTATAAACAATGCATTTATATAACTGTACGGCTTGTTATGAGATCCCATAATTGAACATTGTATCTTTATAATATGTAAATATTGAATAAATATTGTTAGAAAACAAGGAGGAAAAAAAAACAAAAACCTGCATCTATATTGCATAATATCAGACCCATATTTATCCTTGCTATTCGGACCAACCCAAAGGACCACACAGACCAATTAAATTACATTATAAGGCTTGACTTATTCATTTTAAAAATATAATACAGACAATATGTTATAAATGATTTTAATCATTAACAACATATTGTATCATAATACAAAGAGGTGAACAATTTATAGGTGAGTATATACATAACTTTAGAATATCCGCTTCCGGTAAGTACATATTAGCAAATATATATCTTTATTACATCAACAATTTAATTGTTTTTCTTTGATGTGCTTCATGGTGAAACAATACGACGGTTAAGTACATAACACTTTATTATTTAAAGAAAACATATGCATATTAAAACAAACACTATTATCAATTATTAAAACAACAATTAAAACAACACTTTATTATTGATTCGAGTAGTCATATTAATACACACACAAATATAAACGTATTAAAACAACACTTTATTATTGGTCCGAGTGGTCCTTTTGTATGGTCCGAGTAGTCTTTTTTGTTTCGTCCGAATGGTCTATTAGTTGGTCCAAGTGGTCATGCATTCGTACAAAAGAATGGAATCATTCAGAAAGTGTAGGCTACTCAAAATAAGGGAGTGAAGGCGACAATTAATGTAACACATCATGGACATTGTATAAATATATGACATGCGCATGTAATGTACACGTGTGTGAAATGGCTTTATTCAATATCCGCTTCCACCGAAATGAATTGGGCGACATTTAAAGTAGATGTATATTGTCACAGCGGAGATTTGTCGCCGATTAACACAGACAGACTAAGAAAATAGTCCCAATATTGGCGCGTTTCTGACCATGTGACTTACCGTTAAGCGCCCAGTGGAGTGGATCGAGTGCTCTATGAACGATTGATTTAGATTAACTGAAGCTGCAAGCTCATCGTATGACGTATATAATTTAAAGTTTGGATTTTATAGCAGCCAATAATTGATGGATTACATCTAAGTTATAGACGAAGATGTAATGATACGTTGTAAAAAAAAATTGTAAGTTGTTCATTGTTGCATACATTTTGGCCGACGTTATATTATATGCATGTACAGTGCGTTAGAAAAAAATCCTAACTGATACAGAATGCCGGTAAATGTTTTCCCGAAATTAACGAACTCATTTTGTTGTTATTCAAACCGGCCTGTACATTATACATGTACACGTTGTCACGGCAGCATTACTATATTACAACTCCTTCAATATAAACATATTATTTCGTTAAAATCTGAATAACGCATGTGAAATTGGATGTTTGGCAACAGAATTGAATACCTGGCGTAATTGGACACCTTGACTAATTTTAATCACAACTCGGGAAATTGAACGGTCCAACTAATTATTGAACAGTCGTGAAAATTAAGCGGGACGCTTATAATTACACACGTGTCGACAAACTAAACACTAGTCAATTAACGCTTGGTAATCAAAATTGCACGTTGAGATTTAAGTTGTATACAAGGACAAATTGAATGCTATTAGGCCAAATTCAATGATATTTATGAATAATTCTACATAGATTAGATAATAACGCTATTTACCCGAGATTCCACGGTACCAGTCGTATAGTGATTTCAGGTGCGTGTTGACTGCTGATGCTGTATGAAGCACAAGACCATGTGTGAGCACACATGCCAAATATTTATATCGTTAATGGGGTCACAGGGGACTGCAAGGGTTGGTGAGCGGGTGTTTACGCAGAAATTATGGACGGAGCGCCTAGTCTGATGAGCAAGCAGATATGTTTGACATTGGTTGATCAATATTTCTATGAAGTAATGGAGACCAGACTATGTCTGTAGTTTTGTAAATCGCATTGAAACAACGTGATTTTTTCCACTAAAACATAAACCCACACCAACATACCCTTTCAATTAGACCCTACATTATTTTTACTACAGGTAGCTGTAAACCTCTACTTCAGATATTTAAGGCTGAATTACAAACATTTAAACTGAAACCGTATCTATAATTGTGTAATTTGCTAACAAATATAGATTTAAGACAACAAAATTTTATTGAAGTAAATCAATTATTGAAAATCAAAATTACGCAGTTACCCTGCACTTTAAATGCCATCAAAGTTAGTCGTTATCATCATCACTGTCACTACATGTATAAACATCAACAGTCTTTTTGTTTCATTTTCACATTTACTACACTTACACAGATTAGATATGTACACGTACAAGACAACCCCGGTGCAGTATCCCGTCAGTGGTACGGGATGGGAGTGGGCTGGAAGGACAATGCCCAGTCGTTCGGATGGGTGGGGAAATAATAGTTTAAACAATATTTGATCCAAGAAACTGAATGGGATTGAACAACAGGTAAAGGGCTACATGGGTGAGGGTGGGCTGAGCCTATTTGCCTGAAAAATTTGTCACCCAAATTTTCTGAATGAATCGATCATCATCTAAAATGAATTTTCCACAAAGCTGTGATGGTTGTTTATTTTGAATTAATTACACAAATATACAATTATATTTCCATGAGATATGGTTGCATTCTCCATTCTCTGAAGCTTGTGCCCGACAAACTGAAATACATTGCCCGAAAAATGGACGGTTCAACACATCTGGCAGGGTGGACGGGCAGATAAGCTCTCTCAGAACAGTATTTCTACTAATATATTCGTAAACTTTTACTTAGTTCAGATTAGATTTGGGGCTAAATTCCTAACAAATATATGAATTGAAACAAAGCATCTATATCACTAAAATAGATATATGTCAAAACCTAAATAATACTGTAAGTGAGTGGCAATTGTAATGAAGAGAAAAAAAAATTAACTGTCATAATGAAGATGTACATACGCCCGCAATACAATACGGTCTACTCTTTATTTCGAATTTAAAGTTCCATTACGTGCACGTCAACGTGTGGACGGAACCTCAGTTTTAAATTCTTTCCGAGTAACTGAATGCTGCCCATCACAGCCCCCCCCCCCCCCCGCTTCCTGCACCACTGACAAGGGGAAACAACGCGGGAAAGTTTGGGGAACTGTCTAGGTCAACACAGGGATCAAACCCCAGACCTCCTGGGCTACGGACAAGGGGAAACATACTAGTTGTACACTTACAATGCCACCCCCCCCCCCACTCAAACAATAAGGTATGAGGTACGCCCATCTTTATTATACGGGTTGGTACAGAACAGTAAGACATTAAACTAGTTGTACACGTACAATGCCCCCTTCCCCCCCCCCCCACACACTCAAACAATAATGTATGACGTACGCCATCTTTATTATACTGGTTGGTACAGAACATTAAGACATTAAACTCCACTTGATATTTTTTCTCTTCATATATTGTCACTCCCATTACAGTATTATTTAGTTTTGGCCATATCTATTTTAGTGAGAAAACTAAATATCTGTAGATGCTATGTTTCAGGTTAAATATTTGTTAGACCTTTAGCTTCAAATTCTATCTGGAAAAAAAAGGTTGAACTTATATAGGCCCTTGTCTGTAGTTAAATCCTTTTACTGTTATCAATAATTATTGATATTTTCCATAAAGGGAGATAACTCCTTTTGCCATAAATGGATTTCCGAAATTCTGTATGTGCCCTTGTCCGTTATGTTTTCTGCATTTTGCTTTAAATCAAAATTTAACCAACAGCATATTCTTTGCAGACTTTTTGCTTGGAACTCTCTGGATTTGTGTTCCTGGTGTTAAAAGCTTTCCAAAAATGTATAGTTTGTTTATTTGGGAGGACCATGTAGCGGAACTTCACACTAGAAATTTTGGCTGCAGGCCTACATGTTTGAACATTCTAGCTCAATTACTGTAGAATGAAAGTTATTGTGTTTCAAAGTCTCGACCAATCAAAGTGCTTATCGCTCTGCTTACCCTGAGCAGAAAATGCTCATTATTGAACTTAGTCATGGTATTGATGTAATAAAAATATACCCCAAATTTCATCACTCTCACTTAATTAGAATTAAAGTTATTGTGTCCCAAAGCATCAACTGTTCAAATTGCTTATTTCTGCTTTCCCTAAGCAGAAAATGCTCATCTTCGAATTCCATCAAGGCATTGACCTAATAAACACCTACACCAAGTTGGAACGTTCTAGCTCAATTAGAAGGAGAGTTATTGTGGCCCAAAAAGTGTGACAGATGGACGGAGGGACGGACAGACAGAGAGACAGACGGACGAACCCATTTTAATAGTCCCCTTCTTCCTTTGAAACGCGGGGGACAAAAAAAGTGTAATAGTCAAGACAGCAAGCTATTTCATTGACTACAGAGGCTGAGATATTACAAAGTCAGGGACTTATGTCCTACAATCTCTCATTGATAAGGTAGATACCTCATTGTATGCAAGCCATGTGCTGTTTATAGGTATGCTTTACATAGCTATTCATTAGTAAGATACATGTATAACAAATATAGATCTTTTATATATGGAATGCTTATACTGAGTATACATACATCTAAATAATACATATGGAATACATTATACAATTCAAGCAGAAAGATATATTTTAAATGATTTAGTTTTCCATATATTAATTATAAATGATAATTGATAATTTTATTTTACTTGTATGCCAAGATGTAACCTTGACCATTAACGTCAAAATCAATACATGAACGAATATTGTTAACTAATTCAATTACTGGTTTGATTAAATGATTTTCTCAAAATTACTGCCATTGATGTTACGTGATGGAGACATACATTTTAAGTTTTAATATCTGAGTACTCACCTTCTTTAGTTGAAGATAATTCAGTGCCATCTTCATCAAACTCTAACTCGGGTTCATCCCCACTATGACATAATTCTGGATCTGTAGTTGATTCCTCACCAGTTGCTACAAATATATGTAGTCAGTTCAATATATGGAAAATACCCCCCTCAATCCCCCAAAAATTGCTACAAAAGGTTTCTGAACTGATTCTTGTAGGGTTTACTGTACTTTATAACATACTAAAAGTTTACCAAAGTAGAAGCCCCCGGAAAAGTGTTTTGTCAAGATGGCGCCAAAGATGGCCACTGAAACGTCTTAAAATGATCATAACTATGTCACTATCAACTCTAAATTTGATGATCTTGGTGTCTTTCCCTAGGTTTTTTGGGGCAAAGAACACATAAAGATCATTAACCAGCGGCTGCCAGACAGGATAAGCCGACATTTTGCAAGAGATGGATAGAGAACAAGCTAAAAACAAAAATGATGTTTTGTACAATCAGGGGCAATAATCCAGAAAGTTATGGTCTGAAATGCGTAAATATCAAAGGGGGCAAGGGACTGAGATCTTTGGGATATAAAGATATGTTTCAAGTTTCATCAGAATCAAATAAAAGTTGTGACCTCTAGAGGGTCCACAACCTTCATATTGCATACTTTTACACAATTTCCGTACAAAGAGTGGCCATTTTGTTGGGCAGTTTCATTTCGATTTTCCCGAAATTCGAATTCAACCATCGTTATGGTGAAATAGTGAAATATTTAAACATCTTTTAAAATTGGAAAAAAAAATTGTGACCTCTAGAGAATCCGCAAGCTAAAAATGCGATTTTTCGAACAATCAGGAGCCATAATCCAGGAAGTTACGTTTGGATATACGCGATTATCAAAAGGAACCAAGATCTTAGTATGTAATGATGATATATTCACGTTTTTTTTTAAAATTGGACAAAAATTGTCACCTCTACATGGACAGCAAGCTAAAAACTTTATTTTTTGTACATTCAAAGGCCATAATTCAGAAAGTTAGGATCCGATACGCGCAATTATTGAAAGGAATCAAGATCTTTGGGTTATAAACATATATTTCAACTCTCATCACTGTAACCCCTGTATCGTCTAATAAGGGGTTTATAGCGCTAAAAACTATGCATATAGTTTAATTTCAAAACATCGTTTGATATTGATAAAAATCGTTTGGAAATTACAAAAATCGTTTCATTAGTACTATAGTTTAATTTAATGGTACACCGTTTGATTTCTCCGAGAGGGGTTTAGAAATGGCCGAAGCGTTGACTTATCTAATGCGTTTATTTATTAGACGAGCAGTCTAATTTCCCGAGATGCGTTTAAAAATCAACACCTGTTAATTTATCTACTATGTTCAACTATTAGATGAATCGTTTATTTTCCCGCGAGCCGTTTATCCGATCGGTTCATTTTGATTACGATTATTTGCATATGAAGTGCGAATAAAAATGGTGAATATAAAAAAAAGCACACCCATAGATGCTCACCTTATCGTGGTTGTAGTATTATTATCCATTATCCATTCGAAATAGTAATTCCGCCATTGACAAATACATCAAAAATCGGTAAATCACGTCCAAGGTAATTATACGTTTGTAAAGCCGTAAATCACATCCCATTCGTTCGTTCGTTCCTGTAGTTTTACGTCCAGTTCCACCTGAGATGATATCGTAGACAAGTCACACACATCCCAGGTAATGTATCTTCTTTAAGTCACAAATGAATTAACTTCCACATGTAGACGTCACAAGCAGAAAAGTCAACCCGGCAAAGTAATGTTGCACGACGATAATATCGTGAGACTTCTCACTGGCGCCAAAAAGTACCTGTCTGTAAATCTCTATAGACAAGCTGACCCCCATTTTCAAACAGGTCACACAGTGCTAACCATGTAACACCATCGCACGCCAGATGCCTCCGATCGCAATAATATTTTCTTTCTCCTACTACCACAACCATTGTTTCGCATACCCTTTCAGTGCTATGAACATCAGATAATCATTTCGCTAACCCCACTACGTTTCTACTACATTCCGTAATTTAACTGATTTATACTATATCCAATATAATGTTTTGATTAATTAAATGAGAGTAAACACTTTTACCTTGTAATTTTATACCAGTTTGTTATTTATGATTACATTCTTATACAAAGTTTTTATATTTTATTGTAAATAATGTCCTCGGGAGATGAATTTATATAGCCCCGGCTTGTTTTCAGATCCCACAATCATATAGTGTACTTTTATAATATGTAAATATTTATTGAATAAATAGTGTCAGAACAAAAAACCATATTGCATTAAACCAAAGGTACATTTATCACTATTCCAATATATGTACATGTATGGTATTAAAATAATAATGTGTGTCGGGGAGGTCACATAACAGGGATTGGTCACCAGAGTTATATTTTTGTGTCAAGTTGGGTACTAACTCAAAATCCACATCCCGAAACCGAAACGGATTTATAAATCAAACAAAACAAATATTTAGCTATGATAAATTAATAACATAACAAAAAGCAAATTGTATGTATTTATATGTATGCACACTAAATGCTAAAAACAATCACAAGTAAGGCAGGTGGGAAGTGATTAAACCATAGCATTTGAGCAATCAAAGCATTAATCCATACTGTAATATGGAATGTGTATTCAAAACCATGGTTTCATATAGTACCCAGACATGTGATCACAGGTGGGAAATAATAAAACAGTAGCATTCGACCAATCAAATAATTAATCTATACTGTAATAACGGACATTTATGACTTTGTACTGTACGTGTATTTCCAAAATAACCATCGGATGACCAAATGTGTATGGGGATACAGATTCAGAGGTGATTAATGACTAATATGATAATCGTAGTTAAAAGACGATTCTCAATACCTTTTTTACTGTACATATATATAAATATCTAATAATTATTTAATCACTGTTTTAAATAATCACAATGTAAAATATTGCACCATGTATACATAACATGTTATTGTCTGCGATATCGCCTCGGTGGAAGCGGACGTTAAATAAAGCGATCTCAAACACTTAAATATATCCGATTCATAGGTTTGCGAGAAGTGCAACGAAATTATCATGGCAGAACTTGTAATGTTTTTAGGTTCATGAAGGTGGGTCACGGAATTGCCCAGTGATATGAGATCAAAGAATACATTTGCACGTAGCCGATTTTCCAAGACGTGTTGTATTCAATTGTTAAGACTACGTGGCGCCTTAAATAAACCAACATTACCAACTTCTAACAGGTTCCATTGATTTATCATTTATTTTATGACAGTTTAGACCACAATGTGTTACGATTCGCATTTTGGTATTCTAAGCTGATTCTTATACGGAATTCTAGGTGCAATGATATAAATTCGGATTTGTGTGGACGAGTTAACACAATTATACATACATGTAACAACTTTTGGTCAGGTATCACAGCTTTGAAACCATTTAAAGATTTATGTCTGTATTAATTTTAAACTAATTTGAGAAAACCATTGGTTGTTAAAGAATTGTCACACTTTCTCGGGAACTGATTTTTTTTATCATTGACTATAATGTTTTTATTACATCATATATACAAGAATTTCCATAATTGTTACCGGTATATAAAGTTTCATACATCTCACTCAGTTAATCATTTTTTTATTAATCCATAGCAATTAATTAAGTGTTTAACGTTTTATTTAAAATTGAATTACGTATGTAAATACAACCGAACTCTCACTTAGCTAATTAAATGAGCAATCCAAACAATGCGATTATTACTTGAGATTTTTTTATGTTTTGGTTTAAGAATTTTCATGCAATTGAGAATTATATTTACGCATGGTGTATTGATTACATGTCATTTCGGTCCCGCGTCATTTCGGACTTACATTTCGGACTCAAATAAAAATGGCCTGACGTTTCGGACTCGGACAGGTGACATACTCGCAAAGTATATCAAATACTGGTGAAGTATATAAAATTCTTGTTAATTATATATGGGTTGTAATACACGTGAATTATTTCAAGTCCGTGAATATTATTAAATACAGTATTGTTGTTGTTTTTTTTTTAAATAATACTTTTGATTGTGTATGGCCTTAAACTTATATGGCATGCTGAGGCTTTTCGGTAGAGAAGGGCCTCGCTTTTTTTTTTTCTTTTCCCTTTTAGTATATTGTTTTTTAACACCGTTGCCCAATCTGCATTATGACCTCCCCAACAAATTATTTTTGTAATACATTGGGGTAGTGATAATGTACCTTTGATTTAATACAATATGATTTGATTCGGGTATAACAAAAATCGTTGTACTGCAGTCAAGTGTTTACGTAACATCAAGGCAGTATTAATTGAAGCATATTTCCTGTTGATACTGTTTGACCTGCCTGAAAATGGGCAACAGCTTGTCTATAGAGATTTTGGCGCCATTGAGAAATCTCACGAGATTATCGTCGTTCAACATTACATTGCGGGGTTGACTTCTCTTCCTGTGACGTCTACAGGTGGAAGTTAATTCATTTGTGATTTAAAGAAGATACATTACCTGGGATGTGTGTGACTTGTCTACGATATCACCTCAGGTGGAACTGGACATAAAACTCCAGGAAGGAAGGAAGGAAGGAAGGAACGAACGAGATGTGATTTACGGATTTCCATATGTATAATTACCTCGGACGTGATTTACCGATTTTTGATGTATTTGTCAATGACGGAATTACTATTTTGAATGGATAATGGATAATAATACTACGAACACGGTAAGGTGAGCATCTATGGGTGTGCTTTTTTTATATTCACCATTTTTATTCGCACTTCATATGCAAATAATAGTAATCAAAATGAACCTATCGGATAAACGGCTCGGGGAAAATAAACGATACATATAATAGTTTAACATAGTAGATAAATTAGCAGGTGTTGATTTTTAAACGCATCTCAGGAAATTGGACGGCTTGTCTAATAAATAAACGCATATCTAAACACCTCTCGGAGAAATTAAACGGTGTACCATTAAATTAAATCATAGTACTAATTAAATGATTTTTGTAATTTCCAAACAATTTTTATCTATATCAAATGATGTTTTGAAAG